GTCATGGCCATTTCACTAGGGGGTCTGTTTTTTCTCTCTACTAAGCGTCTCGCGTCGCGCTTTCCAGAAGACCGCATCTTGGTTTTTGACGTCTATCATTTTTAAATATTTTTTCTATATATATTCCAAATCCGTGTCAACTATCATGGAAAATCGTCGTATGAGCACACGTCAACAATGTAGAAAACGCCCTGCACGGGTTGCAGAAGACTCACCGGTAACAAGGAGCGATACAGCAGCAGACGATGCGGCTACTTCTAAGTGGGCACGAGGACGACGACCCTTCCGACCTACAAGAACAAGAAATACCACTCTCGACCCCAATAATCTTGCTAACTGGTCTACCATAGATATTCAAGTCTGGTCTAAAATCAAAATTGAAAGACATGGGTTTCAATTTACCAGCAGGACTATCACGGAAATCATTTATAAAAATTTATGAACTTAATGCAGGACAATCGAGAGAGCACGAAACTTCTACGTCCCAGCCGATATCGGTAGACTTATCGGACAACAGGCGGAATATCGAGATTTGTAACGATGAAACTAATATTTTAATACAAGAAAATAACATTTCTGATACTGAAGAGCCTAACTTGGACGCCGATACAAGTTTACGTCGTGAAAACGTTTTACGTCAAACGGTACAAGGGTTATGTTCTACGGTTCAAAATATGAATTTCAACATCGTGACCTTGTCTTCGTGCAATGCATCACGGGAAACTGACCCAGCTGGGTCATTACGTCAATCTAATATGGCTGCCTCCTGAGTAAACAGACCGATACCAGGAAGAGACGAAGCAAGTCAGAATTCAACTTTCGTGGGTGCACAAAGATGCGATTTGACTCCCAATGTATTAAATAGCATAGAACAGAGCGATCCGACCAAAAGGATAAGTTTTGGAGTACCATCGCATGAATTGCCAAGGATTGTAAATGTATCAGAGACCATGAGAGATAACATTGTCAAAGGTAAATATATTAATTTAGCAGCTCTGCTATTACCAGCCCATGAAATGTCAGACAATCGATCTATTATGGATTTAGCTTGGAATGAAATACATATCAAAGGAAATTCGGATCCTCGTCTGAACAAGTCGCTAACTTTAAGTGAATTCCTGGTGGCATTTGGAAGGTACAAGGCACTTATGTGTGATCGAGATGCTCATCCGGGGAGGCGAGAGGAATTGGACTGTTGACACAATGACATAATTGATATGGCCAATAGTTATGGAGCTGTGTTTTATGATTATCATATACAATTTTCTATGAATGCAGCTACATGGCTCCAACTAAAAAAGGTTAAAGTAGACTGGTCCGTCAGAGACAATGATCTTTTTATTAAATGTTCAGCTGGTCGGAAAGCTGCTGCATGTATGATTTGTAACAGCATCCTCCATTTGCAAGACTTATGTCCACAAAAGAGATTTGGACAGGCAGGGCAGTTACGCACAAATCAACAGCAAAGCACTACAGATATTAGAGGACGTAAGCAAGTGTTCTATAATGGGAGAGAGCTTTGCAACAACTTCAACTCGCAGAATGGTTGTTTGCGACCAGGCTGTTCATTCCTCCACGTTTGTTCTATTTGTAAAGGTGGACACTCTAGTTTGAAATGTTCCAAATCCATTATATACTACTGCTGATAAAAAGACGCTGGCAATTATGCAATGACAACTTTTCGCAAGTACTTCAATTAATATTGACAAATTAGAGGAACTGTTAATAGAACATCCGGATAGGATTTTTGTTGACAATCTGTGTACAGGACTTAGGAATGGTTTCTTAACTGGGATCAGTGATGTCCCAGTTGTCTCTTAAGAGTGTACTAATAATTTATCAGCCAGGGCAGATCCAGCTTCTGTCAGTATTCTTTTACAATCAGAAATAAAGGTTATGTGATAGAACCCTTTGTTACCCCCCCCCCCCATTTCCTGTCTATCACATCAGCCCTCTTGGTATAGCTGAAGGGAAATATTCAGGCAAGAAACGCCTTATAGTAGATCTTTCGGCTCCTCACAAGGAACCAGGGATTACAAGTCTTAATGATCTCATTGTTAAGGCTTCTTTTTCGATGTCATATATAAAAATAGATGATGCTATTGAGGAACTGAAGCGAGTAGGTACTGATGCTTTCATGTGTAAGTTTGATATAACGGACGCATTTAAGCAAGTCCCCTTGCACCCATCCATTGTGCCCTTTCATGGAGTAAAATGGGAGGGCAAGTATTACTTTTTTGTTAGATTAGTATTTGGTTGCAGATCTACCCCAAAGATTTTCGACATGCTGTCCCAGGCAATTTGTTGGGTTGCTGAACATTTCTATGGAATTAAATTCATCTTACACCTGTTAGATGACTTCTTGACAAGTGGACAAAGGGGAATTAAGTGCACTGCGTACTATGTCAATTATGACTATGCTGTTCAAGTCATTAGGAATTCCTATAGCTAGACATAAAACACTAGGACCTGCACAGGAATTAGAATTTTTGGGGATAATGCTTAATTCTAAGAAGTTGTTAGCCTTTTTACCTTTAGACAAAAAGTTAGAATTTGCACTAAAATAGAGGAAGTGATGTCTAAGAAAACTGTTACCAGTAGTAAGCAAGTCCTGTTATCACTTTTGGGGCATTTAAATTTTGCTGGACGAGTGGTCTTGCCTGGTAGATCATTTGTCTCTTATTTAATACAACTAGCTGCATCAGTATCAAAGCTTCACTATTTTGTCTCCATCAATAATGATTGTCGTATGGAATTAGTGATGTGGAGGAAATTCCTGCAGGATTGGAACCGGATTCATCTTTTCCTCAATAGTGAAGTTTACTGTGCATCAGATCTGGACATTTTTACTGATGCATCGTCGACTATAGGCTTTGGAGTTTAGTGACAGGTGGCCAGCAAAGCTGCTAATGAGCAAACATTCTGACCTCTCTATGGCACTTTTAGAGCTCTATCCTATTGTGGTGTCTGCCATGTTATGGGGGAAACATTGGTCACAAAAGAGGATAAAGTTTAATTGTGAACATTATAAGAAAGGGAAGGGCTTCTACTAAGTGCCCTGTAATTAATAAGTTAATGCAGCGGCTCACTTTGACAGCCATGCAAAACAATTTCATTATTCTGGGGCAATTTCTCCCAGGGGTTCATAATGGTATAGCTGATGCACTTTCACGTTATCAATTTCAGAGGTTCAGGTTATTGGCTCCAATGGCACAGCAACAGAACATGTTGTGTCCAGCATATTGCGATGTAATCCGAATTTAGAAGTGGAAGCCAATGAGTTGTGGAGCTCAGCTGTGTCCAAAAATACTAAGAAGGCTTATAATAGTGGACTTTCACAGTTCTTAACATTTGCTAGTTTACACAACGTATCTTGCTCTTTTGTTAATCTGCCTTGTATTTCTGAGAATTTGTTAATGTTGTTTGTTACTTACTGTTACAATCATTTAAAGTTAAGTGCATCTACTATTAAACTATACCTATCAAGGATTCGGTATGCTTATTTAAATTCAGGTTTTTCAAACCCACTGAAATCAGCTTCTGGGGGACCTCCAGAGTAGTTAAATTTGCTGCTTAAGTGTATTTCTCGTCATCAAGGCCAACTACAGCACACTAGGCTCCCGATTACAGTAGGTATGGTGGCCAAGTTATATTCAATTCTGGGCGAAGGGGTATTCACACCTTTTACTGATTGCCTTTTGCAAGCTGTAGTATCAATGGCATTTTTTGGGTTTATGAGGTGTGGTGAGTTCACTACTAATTCAGGTCATTTTGATTGACGTAGTAATTTGTGCCGTAGTAATTTGTACACCAGATAAATTTCTTTTAAAGCTAAAATCTTCGAAGACTGATCCCTTTAGGAAGGGGTCAGTTCTGACCTTTTGTATAAACAACCGTTGTTGTCCAGTGGATGCTTTATGGAAATATATCTCAGTCCGTCACCATAGGTATGCGAATGTCAAACCTTGGGAACCCTTTTTTGTTTCTGAAGATGGGCTGCCAATAACACGTATATGCTTTCTTCATTACTTAGTCATTACTTGATAGGATTGGGGTGGATTCATCTAAGTACTCTGGGCACTCCTTTCGTATAGGGGCAGCATGGGATTCTGGACCATATGATAAAGACATTGGGTCGCTGGTCCTCTAATTGCTACAATAGGTATATTCATGTAACAGATGACTCTTTGCATACAGCACAGTCTACTTTAGCATATAGCATGTAATTGATGTATTTATTGTTTAGTTTTTAGTTATAGTTAGCCTTATACATGATGTTAATAATGTGGGGTTTAACTTAGCAATGTACATGCATATTTTCTTCCATTTGGACTCTTTCACACATTATTATCTTGGGGGTCACTCCACAAATGACATTTGGCAAATTATTTGTTACGTTTGGGTTTCTTCGCTATAGGTATACGCTCTTATCCCTCCAAGATATGTAGAGTTTTATAGTTTTCAGATCAATTATCATATATTCTGTGTTTATTATCATATTCTTTGTCAAAGTTAGTACTATTCTATGTCAATTTATCACAGATTCCATGTAAACTATATTT